GTTTTATTTTCTGCATCTCTGACGGACTTCAATCTCTGAACTCGTAAAGTTTTTCTTTTTAATTTTCGCTGTCATTTTTCATGAATGAACACTTCCTGGTATCTGAGGCAGGAAACATAGCCTTATATGGTGTTTTTGGGGTGGTAATTATGCTAATCTCCTCTCACGTGCACGAGCAGCTGGATACGAACAGGTGGAATTTACGCAGCTCATTTACACACTTTTCCTGAAGATAGAAGAGTTTGTTGAATCTGACCCGACATGTTCGTACGAACCCTTTGTACGAACAAAAGTAAGAGAAATTTAGGATAAGAATACGAACATGTTCTTGCATGAGGCCCATTGTATTTTGTTGTATTAATAATTTTAAAAATCAACATTATACAATATTGCTTTAGGAAAATAGCAACTCAGGATATAACTGAATCTGAACTTGAATGATCTCATGTTGGACTGGAAAGTGTTTTTCAGCTTTTTCAGGTGTTTGTGTACTTCTGAGTGTTGGAATTGCATCGTCTTTTTGTGATAATCTTGTWATTAGTCCACTGTTAAATTCCCTGTTGTTCAGAAAGCTATTATTCGTAAAGTGTCTTGCACATATAAAATATTTTTTGTCACTTTTAAGGGGTTACTTTCAGAAATGAAGTCAAATAATTTCTTAAGTGTCATCCTTGGCATCTGAAAATCCATTTACTCAAAGCATTTTTTAATCTGAAAAGGACTGGACTGAGATGTATTACGAGCTCAGCAGACACGTGGTTTCACCAGTTGTTTGCTAGTTGTTGCCGCTGGCAGCCTGTATTCACGGGGGAGGGGTGCTCTGTGATGAGGAAGCTCAGCTTGGGGACACAGAGGAGGAGCTTCTCCTAAAAGGAGGTTCTAGGCCCAACCAGCCATTTTTGCTCCGGTGAATGACAGCCTCAGGGCATTACAGGATTTCAAAAACATGCATGAATGAGTCAAAGCAAGACTCTGTGTATGTTTTTGAAGAGGGTTGAGGATATAAAGCTCAAAAAAGTGGATTTTACATGATATGCCCTTTAAATTGTTTTGATGCTTGTGACTGTCAGCAAACAATTTGTGCTGTTTAGTTCCTGTTAGCATGCTAACACCTCAACACAAAAATATACAGCCATGCCCATAAATATTGGGACGTGGACTAAGGCTGCCACAAATTATTATTTTTATAATCGATTAATCACTGATTACTTTTTTCGATTAGTTGACTAATTGGATTATACATTAACTGAATATAAAACATAGAGCTTATCGTGCCAGAATGCAGCTGCTATTATATAACCATGGTTAGATTTTAGCTATATGCTAACTAAAAATAATTGCTGTGGAAGGGCTCAGATATTGCACAGGTTTCTCTTTCATTTTCTTAAAATGATCCCACACTTTTGAGCTCCGTTGCTGGGTAGCCA